TCAAAATAGACGTCAACAGAGGAATATTTCAAGGTGACTCTTTGTCTCCCTTACTATTTTGTCTATCCCTAATAGCATTAACCAGCGAACTTAACAGGACGAAATATGACTATGCGATCTCTCAAAAGAAAATAAGCCATCTATGACTTAAAGTTGTTTGCAGGGAATGACAGTGAGCTGGAAGGTCTCCTGAAAACAGTAAAAGCTTTCAGTGAGGACATTGGAATAGAATTCAGTTTGGATAAATGTGCTAAAGCAAAAAATTAATAATAAAATCTCGTTTCTACAATATTTGTACAAGCGAAAATTAGGTTATATTCCAAAGGTAAAAAAAAACTGTGGCTGTACAGAAGGATGCTGAGAATACTATGAACGCATCATGTGAATGAGGAGGCAGTTTAAAAAATGGAAATAAAAAGTTCATTCATATACTCCGTCTTATGAACAACTTTCATATACCAATAATAATAATAATAACAATAATAATAATAAATCTCGAAAATGTGGCATATGGGAACATCAACAACCCCTGTTGTAGTTGGAGCCCTAGAATTGGTTGGAAAAGATTGCAGTTGACTAACTGAAGGGATTACTGGAAGTCCATGCCTCAAGGAGATACAAAAAAATTTTCTGACAAGTACAGCCCACATTTTACGAAGGGCTTTATCTATGTCATATTTTTTTTTTTTTTTTGTCGGTGGAGAGTGTCATGATGCCATTTCTAACCTTAGGTCCCTGGGCGGGACCCGGAAAGAAATGTGTAAACGCCAGAAATCAGAGAAAATAAATAATAATAATAATAACAATAATGATAATAATAAGAAGAACAATAATAATGATAATAATAATGATCGAAATCTCGAAAATGTGGCACATGGGAACATCAACAATCCCTGTTGTAGTCGGACCCTAGGAATGGTTGGAAAAGATTGCAGTAGACTAATTGAAGGGATTCCTGGAAGTCCATGCCTCAAGGAGATACAAAAAAATTGTTCTGACAAGTACAGCCCATACTTTGCGAAGGGCTTTATCTATGTATTTTTTTTTTTTTTTTGTCAGTGGAAAGTGTCATGATGCCATTTCTAACCTTAGGTCCCTGGGCGGGGCCGGGAAAGAAATGTGTAAACGCCAGAAATCAAAGAAAATAAATAATAATAATAATAATAATAATAATAATAATAATAGAAAACAACACTTCACCTCAATCATATAAATGAAGTTGATATGTCTGGTGAAATAAAACATCAACAGAGGAATATTTCAAGGGGACACTTTGTCTCCCTTACTATATTAATAGCCTTAACCAGCGAAGTTAACAGGGCGGAATATGGCTATAACATATCTCCAAAGAAAATAAGCCATCTATTTTACATGGATGACTTAACGTTGTATGCTTGGAATGGAACTGAGCTGGAAGATCACCTGAAAACAGTAAAATGCTTCGGTGATGGATAAAGGTGCTAAAGCCACAAATTTACGAGCATCAATACAACAAACCTCTTTCTATTAGCTTAGACCCTGGGGTAAGAATCAAAGATTTAGATAAAGAAGAAGCTTATAAGTACCCTGGTGTAAATGAAAGTGGAGGAATTCACCATAAAAAAATGAAAGAAATGGTGTGAAATGAGTACTATTGAAGGGCTTGACTTATATTAAGAACTGACTTCTCAGAACTGAATTATGGCCTTTAATAACTTTGCTGCCCAATTGGTTCAATATCGTTTCAATATCTAGAACTGGACTCTAAATGATATCAGATGGTTGGATTCCAAGACAAGAAAGCTTCTTTTTGAGCATAACATGCATAATCCAAAGGCTGACGTAGACCGTCTATACATACCCCGTAAAGAAGGTGGAAGAGTTCTTATTCAACTACGAGTGTCACACAAAGCAACAACGATTGGCTTACTAACATACATAGAACAAAAAACAGCTGGATGATACAATTAGGCAAACAACACGAAAACAGAAAGACAAATATTCAGTTATGAAAGAAGGTTGTAAATACAAATGCGATCTACATTTAGTAGATTCTGTAGAAAACCAAGAACCAACTCTTGCAGCAAAAATGATGGAAAAGAAAGCCAAGGATAAAGCTGTTGAACAGATGAAACAACGCTGGCAAGGGAAACCTCTGCATGGCGAATATCCAGAACGAGGCTAATAAAGTCGATGTTGATAGAGTTAACACTCATCAATGGTTATGAGCATCTGGATGAAAGGCTGAAACGCAAGACTTTATTCTTGCAGCTCAAGATCAGAGTCTTTTCACTAGAAACTTTCAGGCAAATATCATACCAAATAGTGTAGATCCAAAATCCAAGTTCTGTGGCAAATATCAGGAAACCATAGACCATCTAATCTCAGGATGCTCTCTACTTGCACCAAATGAATACACAAATCCTCACGAAAGTATGGGCAATACATAAGCTAGACAATGTGCAAGCACTTTGGAAAAGATATTCATAAACGATGGTATGAACATCATTCGGCACCGGTT